AATGACTGTGAACTATTGAATAATAGAACCATATTGAATAATGACTGTGAACTATGTTCAATAATATAACCACATTTAATGTCATGGGTTAATAATAGAACTACATGTATCTTGAATAATAGAACGATATTGAATGAATTTCTGTGTCACATGTAAATTCTTAAAGAACTATCGTGAGTTAATATTTGAATTCAATTTTACAATTTAGAGTGAAAATAATCTTACACCAGTTGGAACAAACATATTAAAGACGAAATATGCATGTTTAACATAAAAATTCTGGCAGTTATATATAACATCCTTTGTTTTCTAACTAATTTAATAAGTAGAGTTTTCATTGAGAAATTGTGGGAGAGAGTTAGAGAGGAATGGGGTTTAACGTCCACTGAACACAAACCAGGTCATTTCGGGACTAACACATGGTTTAATTTTATTTCAATAATTCGCTTGTGCGTAGGGATCTTTAGCAGTGGGAGGAAACCACAGGACCTGGGAATCAAAACCACCCCAGCTGACTCAATGACAGACCTTATGATACAATACACACATGCTAACCATCCGGTCATCCAACCCCCACCCCTCTTGTCTATTAGAAAAGAGACGAAAGGTTTCCAAGAATGAAATAATGTAAATATACCATGATGTATATATATAGTCTTAAAACAATAAAAATATCTTATAACAACCACTAAAGCTGATATGTTTTGACCTAAGGCAGAATATTATATGTACAAACAAATTCATCCGAGTCAATTCGTTCTATTCCGACAAACTAGGCCCAAAATTAATGACAAAAGTTTTAAGATCCATCTTAAAATGAAAATATACATTTCCCCTTAAAATAATTTCTTAATTAACTGAACTCTTCAATTGAAAAATTTAATTAATTTACAGAATGTGGGAACAAGCCTGATGAGTTTGAAATGAATGTCACTAGTCGTTTCATGTGAGAAATCTAAGACAGCTACTCACCACTCATAGATTTCTAATTTTATTTACATCAACATCTATGTTCTATGTGATAAATATTTAGAGAGAGAGAGAGAGAAATGGGGTTTAACGTCAACTCGACACAAACCAGGTCATTTTGGGACTAACACATGGTTTAATTTTATTTCAATAATTTGCTTGCGCGTAGGGGTCTTTAGCAGTGGGAGGAAACCGGGTGACCCAGAGAAAACACACGAGGTTGGACAGGCGACCCTACTCCTTGTCACAACCACGCCATTTGACTCAATAACAGACCGTGTGATACAGCGCGCACGTGCTAACCATTCGTCAATTTCCCTCACCCCACCCCTGACAAATATTTAAATGTTAAATATATGTGAAGTTTATTGAACACAAATCCGATAACTCAGCTGTTTATCTTTTGTAAAACAGGAATATATATATTTAAGCAAAAAATAATTATTTGTTTCTTTTTTTTTTTGTACAATTCCATTAATATATTAATTGGGTTATAATTTATATTTTACTTTCAGTTACTGGCCCTTAGTTGCATTTTTTGGACAATATCTTATTTTATTGTGGTTTAATCAAAGATTAACCCTTTAACCGTCAGACGTTCCATATCGACAAACGTTAATAAGGAGGCCATTTTGCAGGTCATGACCTATAAGTAAAAATGACAAAAAATGTTAAATATTGTATACCACTGAATAGAGGAATTCAAGATCTTTCCTAAAACATATACATTTGTGTGATTTATTATTAAATTTAAACATACATTATGCAAGAGCTAAATCTGCCTATTGCAGGTCTTTCTATAGGCCTGAAATTATTAATTAGACATTAATTAACTTATCCAGGCCATAATCAAATCTCGATGGCATCAGATTTCTCCGATATTAAATAGATTAGAACAGTTCAGTCATATTTTGAATTAAGGTAAAATGGAGGAGTGAGACTTATCTCGAACAACCAGTACGGAGGTTGAAATTATTGCACACGTCTTGTCAAACCTTCAAAGGCTAATATCTTCGCTGTCAATAGAGTAATTTGAATGAAATTTTCAAATTATTCATTTTACATTATCTATTTTCAAACTATTATAACACGAATGGCTAGCTCTTTATCTAAATCCTACATAATGTATCTTTAATCCCTTAACTGCGTAGGACGTTATATAACGTCCTGGACAACTGCCACTCACCGTGTGTAGGACGTAATATAACGTCCTGGAGGTATTTTCCCCAACCTATTCTTCGAACACAATCTTACCATGTGGAAGACGTATTATTACACCTGGTCGAGGAATCTAATTGAAGGTAGACAACTCTATTTACTGTTAGTTTTATTTTGGTTTAAGACCACTCAAATTTGTATTCAGGAAAAAATAGGCCCAAATATGACGTTTTTCGTCAAATTAATTACGCAATAGGGGGTAGTTAACGTCAAATTAATTACACAGTTAAGGGGTTATCGATATATTAACTATATGCTTTTCCTTGTCGAAACCTCAAAACTACCCGACGGATAAAATGAAATAAAATGAAATGGGGTTTAACGTCCTACTGTTCTGCCGACGGATAAAGGGTTAAGTGTAGTCAAATTGATTATTTAAAACTTAAATATCCAAGCTTGTATTGAAAGGGTTTAAAAAAGATTTACCGATTCAATTCTTACAATATTGTAGGTTACAAAAGATTAAAATTCACTCATATGACGATCGGTGGATTGAACATAAAAAAAATAATAAATGACTAGGTTTATTCTAGGAATTGACAACCAATCTGAAATGATTTTATTACAATGCTAGAGTCAGGGGTGTGTGGAGAGCTTGGGACTAGAGTTTTACGTCCACTTCCACCTAAGGGGATATCGTAAACAAGCTTCTATCATATATAAAGACAATAGATCTAACTTAAAAGCAGCTCTAGGACTAAAGTTGTCCAAAACACACCCTGCCGACCCCTTGTTTGTTTTCTTGGAACCCAATGTTACTCAACTGTTCGTTCTTTATAACGTATGTTCAATATAAGCCCTTTCTGAACAGCTGTGCCTTGCCCCATATTATTTCAACCACCCCTGGCTTTTAAAGACAACACTATGAGAACATAAAGTATTATACGGTTGTAAAAATGGCAGTATTATATGAGATAAAATTAAAATAAATCTTTCATATATTTAACACATGATTCTTTGAACTTTAACCTCGCTTGATCATTCAAAAATAAACAAAATCCAAGTCCAAATTAAGACATTAACATAAACATTAATTATAAAAATCAACTTTCTTTCAATGTCTGTTAATAAAATAGTTGTTAATTTGGAAGTAGTTTGTTAACTAATAAGATTGGCATTAAGAGTTATCTATGTTTCGTCCCAAAATCGAATTCTTTTAACAGAATAACCAATTTAACAATCATCAACAAGAAACTTTAATAGTTATTGCGGGTCGGGGCTACCTTTTTCCCTAGATGTTTAAATGGTGTTCCCTTAAATTGTCACCGTTAGGGTTATGTCCAAATTTATCCGTCCATGTTATTATCTAAAAAAGCTCATTCTTATAAATGTAATAATTCTTAAAGGCTGGAAATGAATATATTATTTTCTTTTAGAAATAATGTAATTGAGCAGCCATTATAAGGTAAGGGAGGTAACTACAATTAATTGAGTATATATTTAGGAGTTATCTCCCATGAACTGTCCATTAGTGACTATGTATGTAACAATATACTATAACTACATGTATCTACTACTAACAGTATATATAAACTGATCTGTGAGATCTTTAACAGTGGAAGCAAACATTAAACAAGTCACCAGTTTTCTTAAAGAGGAATTATGCAAGAGTTCATTCTGCCTGTTATAGAGCATTTTTCTGGTTTTAAATTTATCTAAATTATTATTTAGACATTTATTCAAATGACAAGCCCATAATCAACTCACTATATCATCGGGTGGCTTAGATATTGAGTGAATTAGATAGATAATGCCTGCCATATATTTGTTAAACTACAATATGGCGGTACTCAAGTTGACGGTCGATTGAATGACCGAAAAATCGATACTTTATTTATTATCATGGCAATGGTACTATTGAGAATATGAACTGTCAATTGGCAATCATTGAACACAATTTAGGCTATTTCTTGTCAAAACATTTATAACTTCTTTGAGAAAAAAGTAATCGGACTGAAATTTCAAACATGTTAATTTTACATTATCTATTTTCTGAGCGGCCAGCTCTTTATAAAAAAAAAATATTCTATAATGTATTTCTAATTTTAAAATATTTAAATGAAAGTCATAATTTGGATGTTATCTTGGAAGGAAAGAAAAAGAAAGCAAATCAAAGCAAGTTTCTATAGCATATAATCCTTGAATGGCATTTAGTGATTGAGCGCATTAAAAAATACAACACAATTTATATGGAATACAATCACTGGTTTATACACATATAGCACGACATACTTGATAACGATAAGAGAATACTTGTCGAAACGTCGCGCTATATGTGTATAAACAAGACTAGTGATTGTTTTCCATATAAATTGTGTTGTGTTTTTTTCTTTAGCTTATTTTCCTAACCTATTCTTTACACTTTTAAAAAATACTTTTTTATATTTTAACACAGTTAGCCTATATTTAATTAACTTTTCTTCTGTATTTACAAAAATAAATATCGTTTAACCAAAAAGGATTGAATTGTGTAAAAATAAATTGAACTGCTACATGTCTAGTTTTATTTTAAAGTGATCAATGAACGGGAATCACTATTATTTAACGTGAATGTGAACAATTTATAATGTCTTTATCAATAAAGGAATAGATATTTTACTAAACATGAAAGACGCTATACTTGGGGTTAAAACAAGCGAGTTTTCTTTAAGGGGTGAGGCTACATCGAAAAATGCTTTCTGAAATTCTAAAGCTATTGAATTGAAGATGGCACAAGTAGTTAGGAAATGTAATAAACAAGGCAAAACTAACATTAAAAATAAAGTTTTCCCTTGTTTATTACATTTCCTAACTACTAGTACTATTTTCAATTCAATAGCTTTAAAATTTCAGAAAAAAAATATTTCAGATAGCCTCCCCCCTTAAAAACGATCATAGACAAAATTATACTTCAACAATGTTCAAACAATGTTTCATTTTGCATACCAATGTGCAAATGGGTGAATCGCGGTATTTTTTGTCCTATCCTGACTACTATGCGGAACTACCCTTGTGAGAACCAGAGTTAGGGGTTTTATTTGGCCAAACTATCACTGCTCTACATAAAACAAAAGAGAATGTAGGCCTGCATTTGAAAGTTAGCAATCAGTGAAGGCACGCAGTCCCGAAAGCTATGAACAGTGCCGTGGTGATGAAGGGAAAATCATTATAGGGGACTTCAATTTAACTTTGATAGCGTTTATCGTGTTTTAGTAAAATATCTGATCGCGTTTAACAATGTCATAACTCTAAGTAATAAATAATAAATAGTATATCGTCTATTAAACTCTGTGAGCTTCGAAACACCTCCAATCACCATGGATACCATAATGGTTACTATAGAAACACGGTTGTCAAGGCAACACTATGTACATAACCACCACACAAAATAGTTCCTTTAAAAAAATATCACCTTGGTAACCGGAGAGAAATGCTATTTATTTCATTAACCACTGTAATACTATTTGAATTAACAGTATTGAAGCCAACATTATCCAGTCTCTTCCGAAGCCTGGTTGGTTATTATTGTTTTCATTGGCTTGTTGGAGGGTAAAGACTTGACGTTGGAGCGTTTTTAACGACCCATTGACCTCTTCCTGCATTTTCATCATTGGTTCAACTAACTTTTTATAACTGTCTTCGTTCAGACGTAATTTCCCGTTAGCTAAACTTGACTGGCGTAAAGCCGTTGCTGAAAAGGAAATGAAAACATAAATAAAAATTTTAAATTGAAGAAGCGTGAATTTAATAAAAGAAATGGGGTCAATATATGAAGATGGGTACACAGTGGCTAAGTGGGTAAGACGCTGGCTCGCTAGCCTGGGTGTCAGATGTTCGATACCTGCTGCATTGGCCGAAAAAGTCCATCACGATTTTCTGACGTGGTTTCCCCTTGTCAGTGGTGCAGGAATCAGGGCCTGACGAGGACAGTTGTCTAGTAAAAGTTGCATGTAAAAGATCCGTTGACATGGAATTCGATATAAGAGTAGGTCATAGTGCTGCTGCCCGGACAAAATTTCCCTCATAACACACTGTATGGTGTATGCCCGTCTTCATTAGCCCAGTTTAGGAGCAAAACAGTAGGACGTTAAACCCCATTTCATTTCATTTCATGTTTTGCCCAGACAGCGTCATTCTTCGCCTTATCTCCATTTGTCAACTATTCTTAATCAAATGAAATGAAATGGGGTTTAACATCCTACTGTTCTGCTGTGACTGGGGTATAATGAAGACGGGCACACGCCATACAGTGTGCTATGAGGGAAATTTTGCCCGGGCAGCGGCACTATGGCCTACTCTTATTTTGAATTCCAACTGCCAAGGGATCTTTTACGTGCACACCAATGTATACACGAGACCTCGGTTCTTCGTCCCATCTAAACGACTAGACAACTGTTCTTGTCAGGCCCTGATTCCTGCACCACTGACAAGGGGAAACCATGTCGGAAAATCCCGATGAACGCAAGTTTTCTTACATATGCTCGATAACATAGAAGTTATTCTTATTCGGGCCCTCTTTCGTGCACTTTTGACAAGGGGAAACCTCTTGACTACCAAACACCCCTAAATACAGCACAGCATGATCGACCCATGAAATATGCTAATTAGCTACTTTTTATAGGGCAATCACATAAGTAGTAGGAGTATTGGTCTTTTGAGATAGAACACAATATCAAAGGACGAAGATTCTATTCTAAAATATCCAGGAAAATCCCTCACGAACAGATGTTATATTTTTTAAAACAAAATTTTCACGTGATTAAAAAATAAATAACCGATAATCCTTTTTTTAAAAGAAAAAAAACCTTCCAAAATAGAAAAAAAAAATCACCCCAAAAATATATTCCTTTAATAAAAATGAAATATATCCAAAGATATACCCATCAGGGATATTGTGCACAAAAGGGAAAAAAATAAAGAAAAGACAAATACTGTAGTAGCATACAGTAACCATAAATATATATATAAATATATATACTGCAGTAGGCCTATTGTAAACATTGTAGATATATACTGCTATAGGCCTATAGCAAACATAACATATATACTGCAGTAGGCCTATAGTAAACATTACAGATATATACTGAAGTAGGCCTGACATATATATACTGCAGTAGGCCTGACAGATATATACTGCTGTAGACCTATGTAGTAAGAAACAAACAATCCAGTATGATAAAACAAGAAATTAATGTGAAATTAAGGAAAGAAATGGAGTTTAACGCATTATCAGTACAATATACAGGTCATGCTGAGACTAAGATATTGGATCCCCTAACTCACTAACCAACGATCTTCTAGAGTAGTTCCCCCCCCCACTTGTCAAACGTGCAGAAAGGACCGTCTATAGGGGTGCTCAATTGCTAGTCAAGAACTTCTCAAATTCATAGAATCGCAATCAAGTGAAGCGGAATTCAGTCCCGTCACAGTTCTGTCAGTCCCAACGACTGTGATGGTGAATCGTGACATAAATAAAGAGTAGAATCGTGACATAAATAAACACAACAAATATGTTTCAGTTGTAATGATTGGTTGAGATAAGCCCTTATGCATATCACACATGCATTGTAGCTCGGAATTCCCTTTTACAATCGATTGTAACTATTTTCGGGATTGGGAGAATTCAATTCCAGAACGTTTAATCAAGTATCCCTAGGTGTGTGGATGGGAAGAAAGACTAAAGACCCCTTGTCAGTTGGAACTTAAAGAAGAGTAGACAGAAAGTTCACTCCTAGCATACTTCATGGCTCATACCCCGTCCTCATACTTCATGGCCCATACCCCGTCCTCATACTTCATGGCCCATACCCCGTCCTCATACTTCATGGCTCATACCCTGTCCTCATACTTCATGGCCCATACCCCGTCCTCATACTTCATGGCCCATACCCCGTCCTCATACTCCATGGCCCATACCCCGTCCTCATACTTCATGGCTCATACCCCGTCCTCATACTTCATGGCCCATACCCCGTCCTCATACTTCATGGCCCATACCCCGTCCTCATACTTCATGGCTCATACCCTGTCCTCATACTTCATGGCCCATACCCCGTCCTCATACTTCATGGCCCATACCCCGTCCTCATACTCCATGGCTCATACCCCGTCCTCATACTTCATGGCTCATACCCCGTCCTCATACTTCATGGCCCATACCCCGTCCTCATACTTCATGGCCCATACCCCGTCCTCATACTTCATGGCTCATACCCTGTCCTCATACTTCATGGCTCATACCCCGTCCTCATACTTCATGGCCCATACCCCGTCCTCATACTCCATGGCTCATACCCCGTCCTCATACTTCATGGCTCATACCCCGTCCTCATACTTCATGGCCCATACCCCGTCCTCATACTTCATGGCCCATACCCCGTCCTCATACTTAATGGCCCATACCCATAATTCATGGCTCATATCCATACTTCATGGCTCATACCCATACTTCATGGCTCATACCCATACTTCATGGCTCATACCCCGTCCTCATACTTCATGGCTCATACCCACCCTCATACTTCATGGCCCGTCCTCATACTTCATGGCCCATACCCGTCCTCATACTTCATGGCCCATACCCCGTCCTCATACTTCATGGCTCATACCCGTCCTCATACTTCATGGCCCGTCCTCATACTTCATGGCCCATACCCACCCTCATACTTCATGGCCCGTCCTCATACTTCATGGCCCATACCCGTCCTCATACTTCATGGCTCATACCCGTCCTCATTTTACCCGTTTGTCAACAAAAGTAAAATGTTAAACCCCATTTCAATTCCATTTACTAGCAAGGGAGGCCTGTCTAGCTGTTCAGATGGGACAAAAAACAAAGGTCCTGAGTACACATATGTGCGCACGTAAAAGATCCCTTGGCAGTTGGAATTCGATATAGCAAAATTTCCCTCATAGCACACTGTACGGTATATGTTCGTCTTCTTTAGCCCAGTTCGAGCTGAACAGTAGGACGTTAAACTCCATTTCATTTCATTTCATTTCCAGTTATCACCATTATAAAAGAGAAATGTCCAATAAAATCAAATCGACTTCCAAAAGGTTAAATTTATTTCTTCTATCATTAATTTCTTGTTTTGCAGTAAAAAAAATAAAAATCTACGAAAAACAGAAACAAATGAAATACTAAACTAAATACAAGCTATAGGACTTTTCAGTTTGCTAGCCATCTTGTCAAGAAACGTTTTACTGTTAGAAAGATTTAATAAGACAAATTGACATTGAAAATAGCTCGATTATTTCCATAGCCACGAAGACATGCTTTTTTACCCATCATTCAATGGAATAAGAGAGCTTGGAAAATTTGAGTTCCAAAAAATGCCAATAAAAAGCACTATAAGGATTGGACATATTTCTTGCAAATAAAATTCATACCTATCTTTGTTAGTCAGCTATCAAACTGAAAATCATGCAGTTAAAATTATTACTAAACAAAATTATTATTAAGCTTAATGAAAACTGAAATTCATGTTATTAGTTAATCAATCGGATTAAAATACAGATCTACATTTCGTTTCGTTTTTTTTTTTTAATACTTTTGATGGCTTACACTACACGAAGATCTGACCGGTTGTACTGGAAGGTCGCGTCAGGGGTCGTACGAGCGACTTTTGACCTTATGATGTCAGACGTAGATTAATCAACCAGTGATGACGTTTCTAGTGATTTACCAACAGTTCCGTGCATTGCACAGACCGTTTCATTAGCTAATCTCTCGCTTCAACCAGAATGCCTGTAACATAACAGAGAGAGAGAGAGAGATGGGGTTTAACGTCCACTCGACACAAACTAGGTCATTTCGGGACTAACGCTTGCGCATAGCGGTCTTTAGCAGTGAGAGGAAACCGGAGGACCCGGAGAAAACCCACAAGGTTGGACAGGCGACCCTACTCCTTGTCACGTAAAACCGGGGATTCAAAACCCCGCCAGTTGACTCAATGACAGGCTTTATGATACAGCACGCACGTGCTAACCATTCGGCCATCAAACCCCCCCTCTGTAACATAACAACTCTTCCAGATCCTAGTGTAGTAAAGACAAGTAAAACGAAATTTTGAACTAAAAAAAAACGAAATGAATTTTAATCAGATTGTTAGTTAAGAAGAATTACAACCCCAGTAACAACAAGTGACTGACCAAACATTGGAACCTAAAAAATTTGATTAGAAAAACTTCAACTGAATACATTACTAGTGTGATGCCTGTATTTCAATAACTTAATTGTTTTTCAAACAGAAAGAAAGTGCAGAACCAATTAATTAACAAGCCCTCCAAATAACGTTCAAATAAACAATTGAATAGTCTCAACCCTAAGACACCAAATATGTGTTCATGCTTGAAATTGTTTCTAGAAATCAAATAATTGAATTTTTTGTGGTAGTCAACTAAACATTTATACTAACACACAGACGGTTGACCAAACAAATATTCTGAAAAAACAAATTTCAATCCCTCACTACAAAGATTCCCGTTGACTATCAAACCAATTTATGAAATTAATAGCTCTACATACAGAGATCTTTTCAAAACCAAAAATACTTTTTGGGGTTTTTGTACGATCAACGTGAACACAAGAAATAGGTTAAAATTAGCAGATGCTAGCGCAGTCTCTAAGCCTGAAAGTCTCAACAATGTAATCCAGGTATAACTTAATCTTGTGTATCTAGCTTTAATTTCTTTCACATAATTCGTATGTTTAAAAATTTGTAAAAATCATTTAAAACCTCTTTAATTTCTTTCACATTCATTCAATGTCAAATCAATAGGGTTGTTTATTTTTTTAACAGTGGTGGAGAAATTAAACGCTTGTAAATTAGACACTCATTATCAAAATTGAATGGTCAGCTTTAAACAGGACACAAGTATAAATTAGATGAAGATTGTTGATAAAAAAATGATTTTTACGAATTTTTAAACAAAGAATGAATGTTAAAGAAATTAGTGCTAAATACACAAGATTAAATGATACCCAAGTTACAGTGATTGTTTCCCCACATTAAGCCTACAAGTGTCTGGACATCTACTCAATTGTTTCCGCCAGGTTAAGCCTAGAAGTATCTGAACATCTACTCCTAGATTAAAGCCAGACTCCGTTGTTTCCCCATGTTAAGCCTAGAAATGTCTGAACATCTACTCCTAGATTAAAGCCAGACTCCGTTGTTTGCCAAGATTAAGTCAATAAGTGCCTGGATATCTACTCCTAGAGTTTAAGCCAAGCACAGATATGTTATTATAAGCAGGTTATAGTATAAAATAACATCAACCTATGATTGTCTAATAAAATCTATCCTGGCCTTTTCCTGTTGTAGTATTTGACTATTGAGCCAACTTTTATGGAGAGAGAGAGAGAGAGAGAGAGAGAGAGAGAGAGAGAGTTTAATGTCCACTTGACACAAACTAGGTCATTTTAGGACTAATATATGGTTCAATTTTATTTCAATAATTCACTTTCACGTAGGAGTCTTTAGCAGTAGGAGGAAACCGGAGGACCCGGAGAAAACCTACGAGGTTGGACAGGCGACCCCACTCCTTTTCTCCTACAACCAGGGAATCAAAACCACACCAGTTGACTCAATGACAGATCTTATGATACAACGCATGCGCTAACCAATTGGCCATCAAACCCCTCAACAGAGGAAAAAGGCCACGATGTATAAAAGAAGACTCCATTCATATTTAATTCCCAGTTTAAATGCCACATAAAAACTTACTTGCTGTTTCTGACGAATCACTGTCATGAATTAATTCTGGATCGGGAGTCGAACTTCCACTTTCTTTCCGAACTTTCCCGGTACATCTTTGCGATCGTGCCAAAGCTACGTTACGAAAAACTTTTTTTTTCTCCTGTTCCTGACTAGTTATACTCATGGTTCGTACGACGGGTGTTTTATGTCGAGTGTGCGTTTGGATGACAAATTCTTGTTCATATTGTAGCAGATCATTGATTGGATCCCAGGGTCGTAAACTGAAAGTAGAAATAAAATAGTGTTTAACGTCCTACTGTTCTGCACCAAATGGTCTAATGAAGACGAGCATACATTACCATTAGTCATTGACATACTTAGCTATGAGAGGGAGAGAGATGGGGTTTAATGTCCACTCGACACAAACTAAGTCATTTCTAGACAAATATGGTTCATTTTTTTTTTTTCAATAATTCGCTTGTGCGTAAGAGTCTTAAGCAGTGGAAGGAAACCGGAGGACCCAGAGAAAACCCAAGAGGTTGGACATGTGACCCCACTCCTTGTCATGTACATCCAGAGAATCGAAACCACACCAGTTGACTCAATGACAGACCTTATGATACAGCACGCACGCTCTAACCATTCGGCCCTCTATCCCCCTACTTTGCTATGGTCATACAAACCATTAGTCATATATCCCTCAAGTATTTTAACAGATTGAAACTTGAGAGTAGCAAATTACGCAAGACACTTCAAAGGGGGATTACTAAAATCTACATTTTGTGTGGTACAACTAACAGAAGTTTTTCCACTGATTATAAATACCCACTTACTTCACGTGCACACGCTAACCATTCGGCCTCCCCCACCCCCACACTCCCCGACACTTCGAAGGGAGATTACAAAAATCTACATTTTTTGCGGTACAACTGACGGATTTTTTCACATTATTTTAAATACCCACTTACTCCACATATTTATACAACCAATCACCAGTCAATAAATCTCTTTCAAAATATTTCGGAACCCATTCCATCATCTTGGCCTTCCTTTCCCGAGCCTCGTAACGCTGTTTTTCTTCCAGTAAATGTTTTTCATCGGTTGCTCCGTGCATATCACAATTACTAATGGCCTCTGACACACGCCGCCATAACCTGAAAAACAAATTTATTTATTTTAATCAGTGTGACTAGTTATTGAGAGAGAGAGAAAGAGAGAGAGAGAGAGAGAGAGAGAGAGAGAGAGAGAAAGAGATTTAACACTCACTTGAGTTTGTTTCAGTAATTCACTTGAGCTTAGGGGTCTTAGCAGTGGGACCTTAAGTGAGAGAGAGAGAGAAATGGGGTTTAACGTCCACTCGACACCACTAGGTCATTTCGGGACTAACATATGGTTTAATTTTATTTCAATAATTCGCTTGCGCATAGCGGTCTTTAGCAGTGAGAGGAAACCGGAGGACCCGGAGAAAACCCACAAGGTTGGACAGGCGACCCTACTCCTTGTCACGTACAACCGGGGATCCGAAACCACGCCAGTCGACTCAATGACAGACTTTATGATACAGCGCGCGCACGCTAACCATTCAGCCATCCAACCCCCCTGGGACCTTAAGAAAAACTATGAAGTAGGACAGATGACCCTACTCCTTGTCACATACAAGCAGGAAATCATGCTACTTGACCCAATGGCAGCAAATGTTTAACCATTTGTTCCCCCCCCCCCCCCCCCAGGCTGTTCAGAAAAATGAAATGGTGTTTAATGTCCTACTGTTCTGCTCTGACTTGGCTAATGAGGATGGGGGCTGTTAGAAACTTTCATCATTTGGCTCAATTGAATATGGTTCGCTTGCATATACGGAGATTCCGGAGAAAACCCATGACGTCGGACAGGTGACCCTACTCCTTGTCCTTGTTGACTCGATGACAGACCTTATGACACCATGCGCTAACCATTCGGCCATCCAACCCCCGATGTTGATCGATCAATACACTCCAGTCGTATTTACAACTCCATGCAAACTGTTTGTGTGTGTGTGGGTGGGTGTGTGGGGTTGTAATTCAAATGAGACTATATACAAAGTCTCACAACTGGTCGTTATATCAAAGGGGCATTATGGGAGATTAGATAAAGAGCTGATGGTTCTCGCTATGGTAGTTAAGAAATAGATAACGTAAAGAGAATATGCTGCAAATTTCAATCAAATTGCTCCACTCTGAAATGATATCTTAGCGATTGAATTTTAGGCCTAGTCTCCATCATCATTATTAAAGTCGGTACAATAAATCTGATTCAAATCCAGTAAATATCGCAGGCTAGCGATGCCATCGAGAGTTGATTATGGCCTGGATAAGTTAATTGATGTCTAATTAATAATTTAGAAAACATTTCAGGCCTAAATAAAGACCTGCAATAGGCAGTTTTAGCTTCTGTATAATATATGTTTAATGACCTCATCCCTAAGTTTTGATGGTTGTATATATGTAAGTATATATTTACCTCTCTGATTCAAATGGTTCCTGTATTTCTAACGGAACTGTGTATCGTTTTAACCGGGCTGCCTTCACTTCCTTATTTACAACAAAAAATGGCGAACTTTCCTGTAAAATAAACAACATCCATTTGACACAAGCTAGATCATTTCGGGACTAACATACGGATCAATTTTATTTCAATATTTCGCTTGCGTGCTAGTGTCTTTAGCAGCGGGAGGAAACCAGAGGACCCGGAGAAAACCCATGAGGTTGGACAGGCGACCCTTCTCCTTGTCACATACAAACGGGGATTCGAAACCGCGGCAGTTGGTTCAACAATCTGATTATAATACAGATCTATATTTCGTTTCATTTTTTTATACTTTCGATGGCCTACACTACATGAAGATCTGACAAGTTGTAGCGATAGGTCACGTCAGGGGTCAAAAGACCGACTTATGACCCTATGATGTCAGACATTTGATTGACCAATCAGCATTGATGTTACTAGTGGATTACCCACAGTTCCGTGCAAAACACGCCTTAAGCTCGCCTTGACAGACCGTTTCATTGGCTCATCCCTGACACCATTCAGAACACGAGTTAAATAACAAGTCTTACAGATCCAAGTGTAGTAAAGACAAGTAAAACGAAATTTTGAACTATAAAAACGAAACGAAATAGGATCTGTGTTTTAACCAGATTGTTGGCTCAATGACAGAGACCTTAAAATGAGTTAACAATTCGGCCACCTCCTCACCTTTGCGCGTAACTAGACCCGGCTCCTTGCTAGATCCTTCGTTGTCAATTTGATCAATCACCACTGATGAAGATTTTGTTATTTCGGGGTAGAATAAGAATGAAAATGGTGGTTTGTGTTGGTTTATACACTTTGCCTCACATCCTCATTGAATTGTTTTGAAGGTCGTGACAAGAAATATAGCTTCAATTCAAACCCGCCTTATCAATTTGATCCATGACCAGAGAGAAGAGAAGAGAAGAGAGAGAGAGAAAGAGAGAGAGAGAGAGAGAGAGAGAGAAATGGGGTTTAACGTCCACTCGACACAAACTAGGTCATTTCGGGACTAACATATGGTTTAATTTTATTTCAATAATTCGCTTGCACGTAGGGGTCTTTAGCAGTGGGAGGAAACTTGAGGCCCCGGAGAAAACCCACGAGGTTTGACAGGCGACCCTACTCCTTGTCACGTACAACCGGGGATTCGAAACCACGCCAGTTCACCCAATGACAGGCCTTATGATACAGCACGCATGTGCTAACCATTCGACCATCCAACCCCCCTTGACCAGAGAGAAGTGAAAGAGTTATTAAAGTTTAAACTTACCCCCGTCATTTTATCTTTTATATATATTTCTTGATCCCAGTGACCATCTATACTACATAATGTATCTGTTCCTACTTTTATTTTACCACTTACTTTATTACTAGCTTCACCACTTCCTAAAAACGGCTAAAATATACAAAATATACAGTTCACAGATAGATACAAAATATGCAGTTCACAGATAGATACAAAATATACAGTTCACAGATAGATACAAAATATACAGTTCACAGATAGATACAAAATATACAGAGATTAGTTACAATACAGAAAGAGAGAAATAGAGTTTAACGTCCACTTGACACAAACTAGGTCATTTTGGGACTAACACATGGTTCAATTTTATTTCAATAATTCGCTTGCACGTAGGGGTTTTAGCAGTGGGAGGAAACCGGAGGACCCGGAGAAAACCTACTAGGTTGGATAGTTACAATATACATAGTATAGTAGACTGTATATACAGAGATCAGATACAATGTACATCACTCTACAGTCGACTGAATTCAGAGATAGATACACAATATAGTCAACTTTATACAGAATATACACTATTTATATAATATACACTGGTTTCAGCCAGTGGGGGGTACACGTACCCCCCTTTGCTTGAAGAAGGGGGGTATGCACCCCCCTTCAGTCAGCTGATTAATGTTTTCAAAAACTGTGTTTTGTGTAAGAAAATGAGTGTTTAAATGATCTGTAACTAAAGAAATTATCATATTACATGGTTTGTTCAAGTTATTTAATTCAAGGTATCCATTAGGAGCTTTTACAGGTTTCCCTTTTGACGTCATTTTCGGTCATGTACAGGCACTGACCTTATTAGTAGACTGAAATCCACAGGCCATTGTGTGTTTTTTTGGTGAAAATTCCGTCTTACAGTAAGCTTGTTTAACATAAAATGGAACCGATCGCCATTTCTATATATGTGTAAGGTTTACCGACTGATGCCAGAAATGATATTTACAAAAACATTGATGTAGAAAAGATATGGCAAGTTTACCAGACCCGTAATGGCCATATGCAATTGAGAAAACAAGTGGATGACTGATCTGTGCTCATGGCCCGAATTAGAATTTGGTCAAGTTTATTACGCATTTTACGACCATTTTACGACCAATCAGATGTTATCTATTAATTACAGGACTATTAACACAAAAGATTTAAATGGTCTATCCTATTTACATTCAACTGCCGACTGGACAATACGTGCGAGGTTGATGATATATCGTCTGCTTTTGCGCTACATGCTATACTCTGAAAAAAGCACGGTACTATGTTGGTCCTTGCGGCTATTGACTTAAAAATAATTTCAGCTAACAGTACTATAAATAGTATGCAATATGCAAATTTAATTGTTTATGCGTGCTGTTAGCCAATAGCTACTGTATATTTCCCCGCGTTTAGACGGCTCTAACCAATGATAAAATAGTTGTTTGATGCACAGAGTAAAACTTCGGCCATTTTTATAAAATTTCCCCTTGATGGAATATGAATAACGGAAAGAATAAAACGATGATCAAATTGAATCTGTGAATATTTTTTAAAACCTTTTTTTCTTATGTAACCACATAAATTGTCTTGACAGTCAGTTTATCTCCACTGTCGCAAGAAAGAAGAACGATACATTTGTGTCCATTTTATCAATTTCTAATTCAGTATTTGGTTCAGAGAACAACTATTGAATTTGAATATATAACTGGACTCGGTGCATTCTATACAGAATTATTTTTACGGCGTGATTATTATTTGTTCTTTTTTTGTTTAAATGTGCTACGGGACGGGACGGCAAAACGGCCATCATTAATTACTCGGCTATATAAAATAGCCGAATGAGCATGCGCAGTCTGCCAGATGACTGCGTGTAAACAAAACATACATCGCTATGGTAGAATCGGCAATAAATATCTGAACAATCGTGCTTAAATAAGTGAACTTTATTGGAGAATGACATGGGAATTATACATTAAACAGCTACTTGTGGGTCCGTCATGCCGAATTTGAGGTGTTTTCCTCCTGAAACGATGGAATTAGGTCGGTGAATTTTCTTCACCGAGATGCTTGGAAAACGGATTTACACCGTTCGCGGAGAATTTTTTTTCTGGTAGTAGCCTCGCGCCGTAGGCACTTATGGCGATCCAATAATTTTTACCCCCCTTCCAGTTTTTTTCTGGCGGAAACCCTGACTGTATAGTAGATTATATACAGAAAGAAAGACTGTATCCAAAACACGAGAGAGAGATATCCATAGTCTTAAGTGAAATGATCGGTTAACAAAGCCCAGGACATTTGAAAGGAAAATAGTTTCTATTTCAGCTGGTTGAGAATTACCTTCAGTTTAAATTCGAGATCACATCTGTAACCAGTTTTAGGACAATTGATGGTGATTTTCCCTCCCATCTCCATGGTTAATGTTCCGATCAGAATACCTATAATAACAACAAACATGTGCAGAGGCGTGCAAACAGGGGAGGGGGGAGGGGGCAGAGGCATCCATTTCTGGGAGGGAAATTTTAAAAAAAAGAAAAAAAAATTAATTTGAAATTATTGCTGTAACACAAACCAGGTTATTTCGAGATTAACATATGGTTCAATTTTATTTCAACTAACATATGGTTCAATTTTATTTCAATAATTTGCTTGTGCGTATAGGTCTTTAGCAGATAACTCTGCTCCTTGTCACATACAACCGGGGAATCGAAACCAAACCAGTTGACTCAATGACAGACTTTATGATACAATGTGTACACGCTAACCATTCAGCCATCCAACCCCCCACAATATATACAATTTGTCTGTATGCCCCAAAATGTAATTATACTATAATTCTATAAATTTAACCTACCTTTACAATGTGCGTATGGCATGGTTATAAAATAATCTTCACCACGTTTCAAAAACGTAAGTTTGGCAGTTCCATCTAATATTGCTGATATAGAGTTACCTACAAGTAAATATACAATTTATATAATGGTTGCCAGGTTACAAAACCAGATTCTAAGATGGGTTGCCAGGCTACAAAACCAGCTTATACAATGGGTTTCAAGGCTACAAAAATTAGCGTATATAATGGGTTGCCGGACTATAAAACCAGCTAATGTAATGAGTTGCTAGGCTACGAAACCAGCTTATATGATGGGTTGGTTGGCAATGTTCTATCAGTCCTGATATCTCAGATAGTAGTGGGAGTAGAATAGTAGGGGTCTTTAGCAGCGGGAGGAAACCGGAGAAAACCCTACTTGTCACGTACAACCAGTGAATTGAAACCACAACACTTGACTCAATGACAGATCAAGTGATTTAATGCGCATGTGTTTGTTTAACCATTCGACCAGCCAACCCCCTACGGGAATTGAACCTATATAACAAGTGTTTTGGTGAGACTAACGATCTGTCGTATAATACTGTAATTTAGATGGTTTACCGTATTGAACATATATAACAAGTGTTTTGAGAGACTAACGATTGTAGAATTTCTTTCGGGCGAGGCTTCAGCAGCCAGGTTGGGATCGAAAAACACAGAAAACTTGAACAACTGACTTCCATTTCTATTATTCAAAACTCACAACATTATTACAGGCGCAATTCATATCTGGACAATGACTTTCGATTACCAGGTCTCTAAATATAATCCGACCCGAATATCTCACAATAAGCCGTCGTGGATTACTGTAATTTAGAAGAAAGGTGTCTTACCGTAGAATTTGGATTTAGCTAAAATACTTCCACTTATACTAAAACCATCACGACGATTAGATATATGAAATGCTGACACTGGGGGATGATGGGAGATCTGAAAGGAAAAAAAAAATAATTGACTGATTTTCTAAAAATCTTATGTCGAATTCCAAATGTTCCGAGTTCTTTTCCATACACCCCATAAAGTATACAGAGAGAGAGAGAGAGAGAGATTAGGGGGAGGCAAGGGTCGACAAATGTCAATTTTGACTCAAATTATCGATTTTTTATATTTGCATATTTGTGATGTTCATTCATTTTTATTTCACTTGTAATTAAAGAAAATACATATAAAGTGGTTTATGATAGAAAAAATGCACTTTTGAACACTCTTGCAATTCAAATTTTGCTGTTTTACCTCTTTATGTCTTAATTTCTCAAAAAGTAAAATATCAACAGTCGACAAACTTACAAAAAATCGTTCTTGAAAAGTTTACAACAGATATGTCTGAAACTTACACACATACTTAAGTAATGATAGTTCCATGCAAATAAGGATTTTCAGTACTCTAAATGAATTTTTAGTGTAGTAAATTGGCATTTGAAATCTCTCATTGAAAACAACATTTTTCAAAATTTTTTGTTTTGTTGAATAGAATGACATGTAAGGACACAATAACAACACCATATTGATAATTGCACAGAGAAATGTCCTAGGAACATTTTAAAAAAAGTTCCAGGCTTCTACCTTTGATACTTTCAGAGAACGATTTTTTTTAAGCAGTGAAAATGATTTTTTTTGTTTCCATGGTAACCAGTAAAGCAGATTCCCCCAAAACTGCCGATTAGCCTATTTTGTCGATGTGAACAATTCCTGAAAATTTCAAGTTGATAGCATTATTAGAAGCCAGTTATTTTAAAATTCATATTTGTCGAGCAGTGCCTCCCCTTAATGTCCACTTGACACTGTCTTGGTCATTATGCGATTAACATATAGTTTAATTTTATTTCAATAATTCGCTTGTGCACAGGGTGGTATTAAGCAGTGGGAAGAAACTAAAGGACCTGCAGGAAAACCCACAAGGTTGGACAGGCGATTGAGCACTGTTTAATTTCATTATGAAATTTGTATTTTTTGCAATATTTGAATAGATTGTTTACCTGTTCTGCTATATAAAATGTACGACTGTTTGTTTTTGGATGCCGCCAGTAACAACGAAACGTTTCTCCTATTATAGGGTTGTAGGGTTTCTTTAATCCCTGGAAAAATAACAAAATACTATTAGTACCTTATTATAATATCCGAGGAGGAGAGCAATTCTGGAAAATAAACAAGAAACATGAACTGACTGTAGGGTCATTCCAAGTCAAGTGGACCAAATTTTGAAACATGACCTCCTCCAAAAATATATGTTACAGTACATGGCCTTAAGCTAAGACATCCAAAATTATACCTCTCTAGGTCTAAAACTCGCTGAGATATGGCAATTTGAAATTTGGGTGCTATATACAATAACGTATATTTTTCTATTATTTTTTGGGAGGGGGTGATGTTCCTACCATTGGTCCAGTTGATATGGAATGACCCTGTAACAAACATGGCTTGCCATGCAACGAAACATAAGACAAGATCCAACTCCAAAAAAATAGGTTGCAAGGCAACAAGAACCAACAGAATAATCATATGTTGCCAGACAACGAAAATATAATACTTAAACCAAACGTAATAAAAAAATTCTTTGTTGTTGCTTGTATTAATTAGCTTACATTTGGAGTAAAATCGTGGAAAGCCAAAGATTCATGACCAAGCTAGTAAATCGGTACAAATAGCAAATGGCACCAACCAGTATTTGTCGAGAACAGGACAGTGAATCTAGCTACTCTTATGACCAACTTGAATTTATATTTTACTACCTGTTGCTAGTCTGTGCATGTACTACTTTTCGGAATACATGTACAACTTTTTGGAATACATCTACCATGCTATTTTTCGGAATACATCTACCGTGCTATTTTTCGGAATACATGTACTACTTTTCGAAATACCTGTACTACTTTCCGAACACATGTTACCACTGTGTCCAGTTTCTTTAGACAGATAAAAAGTAAAGTGGCCAACGCAAGACAAATGGACAATGTTTGTTAGAAATTATTATTGTTACCTTTGGTTTTTTATAGAAACCTGCTAAATACCATTGTACGACTGACTTCATTCTAGTAAACGGGTCCTCCTGTAGTACGGCTCTACAAATATATCAAACATATATCATATCACAGAACAATTCTATCACAGCTAGCAGGTATCAAATAACTACTCACCCACAAGTCATCAAGTACTCCAATAAATGTAGAGAGATGGAGACAGAGAGAGAGACAGACAGAGAGAGAGAGAGATGATTCATTTTATTTCATTTATTAGGCGTAGGGGTCTTGAGCGTGGGAAGAAACCGGAGGACCCGGAGGAAACCCACGAGGTTGGAAAAATGTACAGAGACTAGGTCATTTCGGGACTAACATATGGTTAAATTTTATTTCAATAATTCACTTGCACGTAGGGGTCTTTAGTATTTGAAGGAAACCGGAGGACCCGGAGAAAACCCACGAGATTGGACAGGCTTGTCGCGTACAACTTAGAATTGAAACCACCCACGCCATTTGACTTAGCAGTCTTTAGCAGTGGGAGAAAACCGAAGGACCCGGAGAAAACCCAAGAGGTTGGACAGGCTTGTCTCATACAACTTGAAATCGAAACCACCCACACCAGAGTTGACTCAATGACAGACCGTATGACACAGCGCACACGTACCAACCATTCGGCCATCCAACCCCTCAGGCCTAAAGAAAGACCTGCAATAGGCAGATTTAGCTCTTGCATAATGAATGTTTAAACTTCAGAACAAATTCGATCTTGATATTTTATTTCTCCATCTTGCAAAATATTCAAATCTACTAAATATCACAGGCTTACGATGGCATCATTGAAGAGTTGATTATGGTCTCGGATTTAGCTCATACTGATTTTGTAATTGGTATATATAACTTACTCCGATAACATATCAGCATGATAATAATAATCTGTTAATTTATCAAGAAAAGATCGTGGTTCTAAAATAAACGTTGGTAAAACCACTTTAGAAAGATCCATACCAGGACGAACCTAGAAAACACAAAACAATAAAAATCTTATATACTTTACAATAGAAAAACCTAGAAAAACTTAGGAAACATAAAACATTAAAATCTGGGCCCTTATTCACGAAAACTTAAACTAAGATACAATCGAAATTTTAAGAAATACTGCAATTCAATTGGCTGACCAGTAAAATCAATTTGCATATATCCAATTTGCATATTGGTCAGCCAATCGAATTGCAGTATTTCTTAAAATTTCAATTGTATCTTAGTTTAAGTTTTCGTGAATAAGGGCCCAGATATACTTTACAAGGGAAATTTTGCCAGCGGGACAACTGCCAACGATAAATGCCGGCAAGGACAATTGCTTGAGGGACAACTGCCGACGATATTATTTGTTTTTCTGTATTTATGTTCCTTTTGTTGAAAATAACCAATACTTTAATATTCTTTATTATCAAACAATTATCTAATTTTTAATATAAAATTATTCAAGCTCAGTTTACTTCACATAATGTCTATAATAACACTGTCCGATCAGCAGTTTTTCGCAGCCAGTTGTCTCGCTGTCAACTGTCCGACCGGCAGTTTTCCTATGCCAGTTGTCTCGCTGTCAACTGTCCGACTGGCAGTTTTCCACTGCTAGTTGTCTCGCTGTCAACTGTCCGACTGGCAGTTTTTCGCTGCCTGTTGTCTTGACGGCTATTGTCCGACTGGCGTTTTCTACTGCCAGTTGTCTCGCTGTCAAGAGTCTGACCGGCAGTTTTCCACTGCCAGTTGTCCTCACCGGCATTTGTCCTACACCTGTAATAAGTATATAAATGAATACCTGTAAATAGCCGTATTTCCCAAACTATGTATTATTCTAGTCTAGACATAAAAACGTTTTATATTATTTTATTTTTTAAATTTGAAGTTAATTAATAAATCCAACCTGTTTAACCAGGGTCCATATTAAACTTTTATTTTCTTCATTAACTTCTTCTGTTTGACATTCATCACCTTGCTGTAAATAAAGTTAACACTGGATGAATAATTGTTAGTCTGATAGGTTCTCCAATGACTGGGCTCGATGGCGATGACAGATTAGGAAATGAAATGAAATGGGGTTTAACGTCCTACTGTTCTGCTGCAACTTCATTAATGAAGACGGGCATACGCCATACAGTGTGCTATGAGGGAAATTTTGCCCCGGCAGCGGCACCATGGCTTACTTTTATATCAAATTCCAACTGCCAAGGGATCTTTTACATGCACACCAATGTATACACGGGACCTCGTTTTTTTGTCTCATACTAACGACTAGACAGCTGACAAGATTAGTGCCAACTAGATATGATATTCTCTTGACCAATCACCACAGCTGAATGTTTAATTACGCCACTTCTCTGCTCATACAACATTAAACACAACTCCTGGCCCCGAGTTCACAAAGCATTCTCAGACTTAAGTTAATAATTTACTCAAAATTGTTTGTCTTATTTTAACTAAAACGTAGCTCTTTATAAAACGTTTGTTGTTTTAATGTATCAAATACATCAATAAGAAACCATGTGCAAAGTTTTGTGTTTCTGGATCAAAGATATTTCTCATAAACTGTAATTGAAAGTTGAGTAAATTCTTAAGTCTGAGAAGCTTTGTGAACTTAGGGCCTGTTCCCCATCACTTTATTAAACTTCTGTGAATTCTACACATTTCATTAAGACTATCATAAAGTAATTTGTTTCATTTGGTTCAGCTTCTTCTGTACTTCAAACAACTAAAACATGCTTTCGAAGCCAGTCAAACAAACATCATACATTACTAGCTATTAATCCAGCGACATCTAGATAGTTCTAAGTCGAATGGTAAAACACAGATCCTATTTCGTTTTGTTTCGCAATTTACTTGTCTTTACAACACTAAGATCTGGACGAGTTGTTATATTACCGGCATTCTGGATGATGTGAGGGATTAGCCAATGAAATGGTCTGTTACAGCAATTCCTTGACGTGTGGTGCACGGAACTGTGGATATGCCACTAGAAACATCAATGCCGATTGCTTAATCAATAGTCTGCCATCATAGGGTCAAAAGCCAGTCAGATCTTCATGTAGTGTAGGCTATCGAAAGTATAAAAAAACGTAACAAAATACAGATCTGTATTTTAATCAGTTTTGTTTAAATCCTGGCCTATGCGACAGTCCTGTCATTACTACAACTAAATTACCTGTCCCAATTCTTCTCTGCCGTTTTCTATATACTGTGTTTCCATTGGTTTAATGTTCGTACTGAATGACTTCTCGTCATCCTCGTCTGAACCACTCGATTCTGATTCGGTTTTAATTTCTTCACGATCTGTTTTACAATCTTCATCTAACCCTGTAATATATCGATGGAGTGAAGAAACTGGTCAAAATGAAATGGGGTTTAAAGTCCTACTTTTCTACCAGGCTAATGTAGACTGGCAAATGCTATACCCAGTCTGCGACATTAGCGTTTGTCCAATTGCCCGGGACAAGTAAAAATTACGGCGGACAAGTAAAACTTTCATTGGGACTTGCCCACCGGTACAGTTCTGTTTTTCAATAGAATTAGATACAAATGTACATTGACGAAGATGACAAGCGAAAATTTCGCTAAAAAAAATTAAAAATATCCATTTCCCCGTTGCTCACACTGTTTTTGGGGTTCGGTAAAAGATCGAGGAAACGCGGTGGAGCGCAGTTTCTACTACAAGGGAGACAATTCCATTTAATACTTGTCTACTTCCGCTTTGACATTTATGGGATCACTGGAAACTTTAGGATTGACACTATACAGTCACATGAGTTATCCAAGGCACACATCACATCTATTTGCGAACGAAAAGATAAAAATTCATCAGATGCATAAAAAGCTCTCATGCCTTTAAATTTTAAAAAAAAATGAATTCTAAAGGCTGAACATTTTATCTTAATGAATAACAAAATGTATGATATAATAAAAAATGTTTTTTGTTCTTTTTTTATTTCAATTGACCATTTCCATCTGACTGCTGTCATTGTACTTGCCCACAGGGCAAGTGAGTTTGAAAGTTAATGGTGCAGACTGTATACCCTACTGTTGCCACATACAACCAGGGAATCAAAACCATGCCAGTTGACTCAATGACAGACCTTATGATACAGCGCCCACACGCTGACCATACAGCCATCCAACCCCCAATACAGTGGGCTATGAGGAAAATTTTGCCTAGAAAGCAGCAATACAGGCTCCTCTTTTTCGAATTTCAACTGTCAAGGATAACTTATACATGCATGTGAATTTGTACACAGGATCTCCATTTTTTACCCCATCCAAATGACTGATGAATGAGATGCCATGTGTAAAGTGAACGATACCTAGATCTACTAAACATTTTACAAACCTTGACCTTCGAAATGTTTTTCACAATCAGATTCGTTAAGTTCGGTTGGTGATTGAAATGATGGAGTTTCTAACGTTTCTGCTAGAGCACCCGAATTCAGTTCTCGTTCTTTAGTCATCGATCTCATTAATAGACTCGTACATCTTAATGCTAACTCTAACGCATCCATCCAACATTTTCCTGAAATACAAAATAAAAAATTATAATAACTCTAACCCATCCCTTCAACATTTTCCTAAAATATAAAATAAATAACAAGTTGAACAAGGGTTTAACGTCCTACTTTTCTGCACCGACTGGGCTAATGAAGCCAAAAACAACCAATCACATAGATGATAAAACAAATACAATTACTCAGAGCATTGCAGATCCACAATCAAACATCCCATCAGAATTCTTCCGAACCACAATCAAGCATTCCTTCAACATTTCAGATCCACAACTAAGCATCCTCTCACAGCGTTTCCAACCAAATCGAGTAGCACCACAGAGTGTTCCTGATCCACAATTGAGCATCCCCTCAGAGCATTGCAGATCCATAATCGAACATCCCATCAGGACGTTCACGAACCACAATCAAGCATTCCCTCAGAGCATTCCAGATCCACAATCGAACATCCTCTCAGAGCATTCCAAATCTACAATTGAGCAACCTCTCAGAGCGTTCCAGATCCACAATTGAGCATTCCCATAGAGGGTTCCAGATCCACAACTGAACATCCCATCGGAACATTCACGAACCACAATCAAGCATTCCCTCAGAGCATTCCAGATCCACAATCGAACATCCCCTGAGAGAGTTGCAGATCCTCAATCGAACATCCCATCAGAACGTTCACGAACCACAATGAAGCATTCCCTCAAGATCAACAACTGAACATCCCCTCAGTATGTCGGGAAATCAACTTACTCATAAGATTACTAACTTCATTAACCTAAAAATAAAATACCAACCTGCGGATTCTGATGGAGCGCGGAAAATGAGGTATGAATATGGAAGAGGCTGCACAAAGGCTCCAATTGTCTCCCCTTTTGGTCCCTAGAAATGACGAGAATGGAAATAATTAGAATTTACAAATTAAATGAAAAACTTCATCAAACTAATATTTTAATCAAACCAAAACATTTCCTCTATATTTTTATTTCAAACATTAATTCAATCAATCAAGTGTTACATAATATTAAAGATACATTATGGGAGATTAGATGAAGAGCTGGCAGTTCTCACTATAATAGTTAAAAACTAGATAATGTAAAGGGAATTTGCTAAACATTTCAGTCAAATTAATCCTCTCTGAACTGAGATTTTACAGATTGAATATTGGGACTAGCCTCGATCATCATTACTAAAGTTGGTACGATAAAAAAACATAGTCTTGATTATCCATTTGCCAAAATCAACCAATATCATTAATTAACTTCTACAATCCACCATCAGTCAAGTTATTTCGTGACATCAAGTCTGTAGACTACTTACTTTAGTTGCCCATATGGACTGGTCGAGAGGATGAAACAGCTTAAAACAGAAGCCATCTTTTTTGGAAGGTCTTTCAATAAGACGACAGGCGCTGAGTATAACTGTACCAATCCAATGACTACTCTGTAATAAAAACATACGAGTTGATTTAAAAGATGAAATAGGGTTTAATAACAAGGATAATGACAACAGGAATATGCCATGCATGGTGCTGAGGGAGATTTTGCATGGACAGTGGCAGTACCGCCTCCTCAAATTCCCACGTCCAGGTTTATTTTACTAGCATGCCAATGTGTATACAAGGATGCACCAACACAGAGAGTGCTTTCTGTCAATATTAAAATTTTCACGGCTTAATCAACCATAGAATCAACAGCTTTGATCGGATTAAAAAGATGTCCATCAAAAGATTTAGTGAGAGATCAGAAAGAGAGAGAGAGAAATGGGGTTTAACGTCCACTTGACACAAACTAAGCCATTTCGGGACTAACATATGGTTCAATTTTATTTCAATAATCCACTTGCTCTTAGGGGTCTTTGGCAGTGGGAGGAAACCGGAGAAAACCCACAAGGTTGAGCAGGTAACCCTAGTATAAATGTTTTATTGACACATTTTTTGAAATAATGGTACGCCAGGATGACGTCACACCTGTATTTTAATGACCTTTGACCTTACCTTTAATTTATCACTTTTGTAGAGAATTATAAGTCCAGGTTTGAGTACACACCACAACTTGGTCCAACTCTTCAAGGTACCTCGTATCTTTAACCAATCTGCTAACACTATAACAGACGGATCTTTTAATGTGATCAATAACTCTTTGGCAGCTTGTTTCTTCTGACTTCTATAATTCTTCTTTTGAACCTGGAATAAAAAAATTGTGGCAAATAAGGAGTCAGGGTTCATACGAGCAGCTTTTGACCCAATGACGTCAGACATTTGATTAATCAACCACTGTATATCAAAGTTCCGTGCATTGCATGCCATGAACTTGCCGTAACAGACTGTTTCATTGGCTAATCCCTTGCATTAACCAGAACGAGGGTTATATAACAACTCTTCTAGATGCTACTGTAGTAAAGACCAGTAAAATGAAATTTTGAACTATAAAAAACAAAACGAAATAAGATCTGTGTTTTAATCTGATAGACAGGATGCAATTTGTTTAACGAAAAAAAAAGATATATAAAACCTCCCATTAAATTTAACATTTTGCTCTTTAGCCAAATAAACTAAAATGAAATTAAATGTGGTTTAACGTCCTACTGTTTTGCTCCGACTTGGCTAATGAAGACAGGCATACGCCATACAGTGTGCTATGAGGGAAATTTAACCCAGGATAGTGGCACTATGGTCTACTCTTATATCGAATTCCAACTGTCAAGGGATCTTTTCCATGCATGCCGATGTGTACACGGGACCTCAGTTATTCGTCCTATCTGAACGACTAGACAGCTGTCCTTGTCAGGCCCTCTGTTCTGCATCACTAACAAGGGGAAACAATGTGGCAAATATAAAAAACCAGCGGCTGCCAGGCAGAATACGCCCACATTTTCGAGAGATGAATAGAGAACAAGCTAAAAGGAAAGTGATTTTTCCTACAATCAACGGCCATAATTCAGGAAATTACAATTCGATATGCGCAAATATCGAAAGGAACTGAAATCTCTGGGTTATAAACTTACATTTCAAGTTTAAAATTGTGACCTCTATAGGGTCCACAACCTTGATATACCATATTTTTTACGCTATTTGAGAACGAACAGTGACCATTTTGTCTGTCAGTTTTGGGCCGATTTTCACGAAATTCGAACTCAGCCCTTCTTAGGGTTTAACGGTGATATAATAATACGTTTTTTTAAATCAGATAAAAATTTTGACCTCTATAGGGTCCACAAGCTAAAAACGCGATTTTTCGTACAATCAGGGGCCATAATTCAGGAAGTTACGGTCCGATATGCGCGAATATCGAAAGGAACCGAGATCTTTGGGTTATAAACTTACATTTCAAGTTTCAACAAAATCAGATAAAAATTGTGACCTCTATAGGGTCCACAAGCCAAAAACGTGATTTTTCGTACAAACAGGGGCCATAATCCATGAAGTTTCGATCCGATACATGCCAATATCGAAAGCAGCCGAGATCTGTTGGAGATACACCTATATTTCGAGTTTCGTTAAAATCGGATAAGAATTGTGTCCTGTAGAGTGTCCACAAACAAATTGTGGACGGACGGACGGACGTCCGGACGGACAGGGGTGACGGCCTAATACGTCCACATGAAAATTTGGGCGTATAAAAATCAATGTTATAGAAACAAGCAAAGTGTATGGCTGATCGCCAGTGAATGGTCAGCTTTAAACTGGACAAAAGTACAAATTAGATGATTTTTGATGATTTTAAATGATTTTTACAAATTTTTAAACAAAGATTTCATATTGAATGAATGTAAGTAAAAGAAATTAATTCTAAATGCACAAGATTAAATGATACCCAGGTTACAGAGTTAGTCCCCTGACTTCTCCAAATAATACCCAGGTTACAGGGTTAGTGCCCTGACTTCTTCAAATAATACCCAGGTTACGGCGTTAGTTCCCTGACTTCTTCAAATAATACCCAGGTTACGGCGTTAGTTCCCCGACTTCTTCAAATGAGAGAGTACAATGAACTTTCATTCAAATACAGACATAAAATATCAATTTTTTTCATGCTGTCAGATAAAAATGAACTAGTCTGATATTTACAGAGATTTAAATCTGTCATACGTTCAATATTTTCTCAATAAATCTTCTATAGTGATTTCTATTTCTGTTACACGCCTGAAAAGCAGACGATGTAACAACACCACCTTTGATCCTCCATAAATCTGTTATTTAAATTATAAACAGAGGTGGGAATAATGATATCATAGTTGTAGTTGATAAATGATACGGGACAATTGGAACTCTGTGCTGGAAATTTATTATAAACGTCACTAAAGCCTGGTTGCCAGGCAATGAAACCTACACCCACAGTCCAAAAAGTGTAGAGTGTCCACAAACAAAATGTGAAAGGACGGATGTATGGACGGACAGGTTGGCAGGCAATGAAACATATACCCTCAGTCCACAAAGGTTATCTGTTGAGTGTCCACAAACAAAATGTAAATGGACTTACATACAAACATACACGGGTGACGACATACGACATATCAAAATTATTATTTCCAGGTCAGGGCTAGTTGTATCAGGAATCCTCGTGCATACTCTGCAAGTGTACTAACCTTCAATGATTCTCTTTTTGACAATTTGCTGGAAGACATGGGTGTGGATGCGAAGCTAGATTTATCCGAGATTGGTGAAAATAACTTACTCTCCGACTAAAACACAAAAAGGAAAAACAAATCAATTATTCTTCTTATTAAATAATTATTATCGTTTACTTGAAAATGTCAGCTGAACGTATACAACCATCAATGAATGTACTAATTAGATCTCCTGCTGTTTTTCTCTAAGCTTTATACATATAGTACTTATTCATGCATACATTGCCAAGAAATGGGATGGGGTCAAACATCCTACTTTTCTATGAAATGAATGGATATCCTCCTACTGTTCTGCCCAGACTAGACTGATGAAGATAAGTTATAGTGTGCTATGAGGAAAATTTTGCCTGAACAATGTCGATAGTCTACTCTTATTTTGAATTCCAACTGTCATGGGTTCTATTCGTGCACACCAAATGTGTTCACAGGACATCAGCTTTTTGTCTGATCCGAATGACTAGTGACTGTCCTTGCACCCCCACTGGAACACCTGATGCGAACCTGGTTAGCAAGCTAGCATCATACTCACTGAGGCTGCCCTCTATTTCCTTTGTTTTGATTCCCCTGTTGTACATGACAAGGATTAGGGCTGCCTGTCTAACCTCGTGGGTTTTCTCAGGGTCCTCCGGTTTCCTTCCACCTCTAAAGACCCCTACACGCAAACAAATTGTTGAAATAAAATTGAACCATATGTTAGTCCCGAAATGACCTTTCTCTATCAACTGGGTTAAATATTCATCATCGAATTCCAAATGTCAGGGATCTTTTACGTCCACGTCAAGGTGTACAAGAAACCTGTGATTTTTTTGGTTTTTTTGTTTGGGGGTCCCATCCAAATGACTAGCCAGCCTATAAATAATTAGACCTATTCATACTGGTAAGTAATTATAGATGTATACAACCTTAGCTTATGTCAGAAAATCAATCAATGGCTATTCCCTAAAGATGATCTCATTCATAATAAATGGAATGTAAACATTAAACATATTACACCTCCAACAGAACAAAGGAGAGAGAGAGAGAGGGAGAGAGAGAGAGAGAGAGAGAGAGAGAGAGAGGGAGGGAGAGGGAGAGAGAGGGAGAGGGAGGGAGGGAGGGAGGGAGGGAGAGGGAGAGGGAGGGAGGGAGGGAGAGAGAGAGAGAGGGAGAGAGAGAGGGAGGGAGAGGGAGAGGGAGAGGGAGGGAGGGAGGGAGGGAGGGAGAGGGAGAGGGAGGGAGGGAGGGAGGGAGAGAGAGAGAGAGGGAGAGAGGGAGGGAGGGAGAGAGAGAGAGAGGGAGGGAGAGAGGGAGGGAGAGACTTCCACTCCATACAAACTAGGTCATTTTGGGACTAACATATGGTTCAATTTTATTTCAATAATACACATGCGCGTTGTGGGAGTTGTGGGAGAAAACCGGAGGACCTGTAGAAAACCTACAAGGTTGGACAAGCAACCCTACTCCTTGTCACATACAACCAGGGAATCGAAACCATGCCAGTTGACTCAATGACAGACCTTATGATACAGCGCGCACATGCTAACCATTCGGCCATCCACCCCCCCTAGACATTTATAATATCCAACGGAACATTAATAAGTTTCAGGATGGCAATCTAATTACAGACCCCCCCCCCCACCCTGTAATAGACAAACTGTTGGTACCCTGGTTATGTTTTATAATGATCTGTATATACATCAATCAAATTAAAATATAGATCTATATTTCGTTTCGTTTTTATACTTTCGATGGCCTACACTACATGTAGATCTAACAAGTTATAGTGGGAGTTCACGTTCTATGATGTCAGGTACCAAGCAAGCGACATTTGACCCGATTACGTCAGTCATTCGATTAACCAATTAGCGACCGCCATGTATTTTTTTATCTACTTTTGCTTTGTTTTTATTTCTATTGCCGCTAATGTCTACCCACAGTTCCGCGCAAAAAAGGTCAAACGCTCGAATCGACAGACCATTTGATTGGCTGACCCCTCATTTCAAGCAGAACACGAGTTAAATTTCAACGCTTCCAGATCCAAGTGTAGTAGAGACAAGTAAAATCGACATTTTGAACTATAAAAACAAAACAAAATAGGATCTGTGTTTTAATCAGATTGAATACAGATCTATATTTCGGGGGTTTTTTTTATGCTTTCGTTGGCTTACACTACATGAAGATCTGACTGGTTGTAATGGAAGGTCGCATCATACGAGTGGCTTTTGACCCGATGACATCAGACATTTGATTAACCAATCAGCGTTAATGTTTCTAGTGGGTTACCCACAGTTCCATGCACCTCACGCCAAAAACTCGCTATAACAGACCGTTTCATTGACTAATCCCTCACATCATGCAGAAAGTGGGTTATATAACAACTCTACCAGATTCTAGTGTAGTAAAGACAAGTAAAATGAAAATTTTGAACTATAAAAACAAAACGAAATAAGATATGTGTTTTTATCAGATAAGACAGGATGCAATTTGTTTAACCAAAAAAAAAAGATACATAAACTCTCCTATTAAATTTAACATTTTGCTCTCTAGCCAAATAAATAAAGTGAAATGAAATGGGGTTTAACGTCCTACTGTTCTGCTACGACTGGGCTAATGAAGACAGGCATACGCCATACAGTGTGCTATGAGAGAAAATTTCTGCAGGCAGCGGAAAAATATGGCGTACTCTTATATCAAATTCCAACTTCCAAGGGATCTTTTATGTGCATTCCCGTGTATACACAGGACCTCAAATTAAAACTGTCAAAAGTTATTTTTTGTACATGCCAATCTGTACTTTCTTCTTTCAGACAAAAACTGGAAAATATTATTTGCCAGACCCTGCATCTCTTGACAAGGGGACCGACCCCATGCTGGAAAATTCCTAGGAACTTTCTCGGCAAACACCATGAAAAGAACCCAAGACTTACAGTCGGTGAGCCAACACCTTATTACTAAATAGATCCCTGTTACAATATCATTCATTAAACTAAAGGGACAATAACACTCTTGCTGGCTTGACAGCTCCAGAAAATAAAATATAGCCTTATTCTAAGTACTAGATGTGTTAGTGTCCTACCTGTTGTGCAAATTATCCATTAAATCCTATTTTACTTGTCCAAAGGGTTCAAAAATATTTTTAAATCCAAGTCACATTTGAAAAGCTTTACGTCAGGCTTTTCAAATCATTTAGTTGAATTTGTCCAATTCTTTAAATTAGGTGTGTTAAGATGAAATTTGTATCATCAATTAATTGGAATATTGTAAAATAGTACAATTTGTTGACCAGAATAAAGATTGGGACATATTATTCAGTTACAACAAGAGTGGTATTGAGCCTTTAAAGATACATTATGTAAGATTTAAATAAAGAGCTGACCATTCTTGCTATAATAGCTCAAAAATAGATAATAAACAATTCATATATTGAAAATTTCATTCAAATTACTTTATTCTGAGTCAAGTTATCACAGTTTGAATTTTTGACAAGATGTGGCATATATTTTTCATTACCATAACAACATTACTTGTTAATGGAGACTGCCGCTGTTCTCAATTTTTAAATTAAATCATTAATAGGCGATCAGATTTCATTTGCTTTAAATCTATGCTATCGGACGCTCTAGAGAGTTGATTATAGGCTTCTCATGTGAATAAATGTTTAAATAAATTGATCTAACATTTGAAGTCAAAATAAAAAAAACCCAATAGTCAGATTTAGCTCTTGAATAATGCATGTTTAATAATCATGTGCCACCTTCTAATTTTACTGAATAAGTTATTAGTCCATTCCTGGTCTTTATTCATGAACAATTACATCTTCGTTAAAAATCAATCTCCATTAACTCTTATTTACATCCAGACAGTTTACTTTTACTCTAGTCATAATGTGATATATTAGTTTTGACTCAAGTCAAAAAATATTATACATTATTTCTGACTCCAGGCCTGGAAATAACGGTTTTAGATTTACCTGACAAAATGTCAGGCACTAATGAAATAGTACCTGACATTTTCAACTTATTGCCGGACATGTATTAATAATATCAATAAAAAAGACAATTGAGTGCCGGACAAAATGACATGTACCAGAGTTTTAGTGCCTGACATTGTCTGTGATAGGTGCCTTATTTCCAGGCTTAAACTCTAGTCAAAATACAGTAAATCAGTTCCAAGTCAAAATAATTTACATTAGTTCTGACTCAAGTACAAAAATATTTTACTTCATTTTTGACTTGTCAAAATACTATAAATCAGTTCTGAGTCAAAGTACTTTACATTAGTTCTGATACTAGTCAAAATACTATATATTAATTCTGACAGTAGTCAAAATACTAAATATTAGTTCTGAAACCAGTCAAAATACTATATATTAGTTCTGACACTATAGTCAAAATACTATATATTAGTTCTGACACTATAGTCAAAATAATTTACACTGGTTCTGGATCTAATCAAAAAACTTTACATTACTAACTTACTTAAGTTAAAGGACAATATTGGTGTCAGTCATTTAGGTTCCGAGTTACCTATTTAAGGTGTTTTCTGGTATTTATTGTTTTTCCGGTATTCAGTATAACATGGTGTTTTCCGGTAGTTTTCCGCCACTGCAAACAGAGTCTAGCACCCAGAAAATATTCATTCGCAGTGAGTCGCCCAGGAAATTTAGAGGATTGTTATACTCATTTCCATTTTGGGCTACAATATCACATATGTGAATAAAAACAAGGGAATGTACGGATTGTTTCTATTTTTCTGGTTTTCTCTTATTTAGTTACACTCAATTACTTTTTTTAATTGTCATATATCCTCTTAAAGTCTCACATAACTTTTAGTCTTTGAAGGAATTATCAGTGAGCTGAAATTAGACCATGTATCTGTTATCGCTTGTTCCTTCAGTCAGTTATATATAAGGATAAATGGTGTTTCCTTTTGATTTCGACACTTCCATTTCTTGAAACCTTCATTACACATCTATCGTAGCAATGATCTTTGTGTTAAAATTATATTTGGAACATGTTTAACGAGTTTTATCGCATATGTGATAATGACTGACACCAATATTGTCCTTTCAGATACAGACAAGTGACCAGGAGTCTAGAGAGAGAGAGAGAAATGGGATTTAATGTCCACTCGACACAAACTAGGTCATTTCAAGACTCACATATGGTTCAATTATATTTCAATAATTTGCTTGCGCGTAGGGGTCTTTAGCAGTGAGAGGAAACCAGAGGACCCGGAGAAAACCCACAAGGTTGGACAGGCGACCCTACTTCTTGTCACATACAACCGGGGATTCGAAACCACGCCAGTTGACTCAATGACAGACCTTATGATACAGCGTGCACGTGCTAACCATTCGGCCATCCAACCTCCTCCCCCTGGCCAGGAATCTATACATATAACAACAATACACTATTTCTAGTAAATATACTTACACTAGCTCTGGCTCTGGTAGAGGAAGATGATGCGGTAACAGTTGGACTGGACATCGCTGACGATAAGTTCCCCACCCCATCACCAGCCTCTCCTTCTGAATGGCCTGAAAACAAAATAATATGAAATATAAAATGAGAAAAACATGTCTTCCGTATCTGCTCCTAAATATTACAATTTGCAATTTGTGTCTAACTGTATACACAGTTGAAGCAATCGGATTAAAATACAGATCTATATTTCATTTCGGTTTTTTATACTTTCGATGGCCTACACTACATGAAGATCTGACCTGTTGGACTGGAAGGTCGCGTCATAAGTCGTACTAACAGCTTTTGACCCTATGATGTCAGACATTGATTAATCAATCAGTGTTGATGTTTCTAGTGATTCACCCATTGTTCCGTGCATCGCACGCCAAGAACTTGTCGTAACAGATCGTTTCATTGGCTAATCCCTCACTTCAACCAGAATGCTGGTAACATAACAACTCTTCCTGATCCTAGTGTTGTGAGGCAAGTAAAACAAAATTTTTGAACTATAAAAAAAACGAAAAGCACCCTATCAATTACTAATCCCTAACTTCAACCAGAACGCCAGATCCTAGTGTAGTTAAGACAAGTAAAACAAAATTTTGAACTATAAGAAACGAAAGAAAATAGGATCTGTGTTATATAACAACTCTTCCAGATCCTAGTGTAGTAAAGACAAGTAGAACGGAATTTTGACTACAACAAACGAAACGAAATAGGATCTGTGTTATTTATAATGACGAATAAGACGGAATTTTGAACTATACGGAAAGGAAATACGAAGTGTGTTTTAATCGGATAGTTTTACATGTACATGTGTATATCTGTAGATTGTGTATCAAACTCTCATCTCGTTACTGGTGTAGGATATAAAACTAATAGAGAGGTTCCGCAACCAGTACGAACTACGAAGTACGAAGTTTTTTTGTGCTGATATCATCACTTCATGTGTTCTCATTGACATAAGCGACCTTCGGTTCGTCATTTTTCTACGAAGATTTCTTGAAAAGTTCGGGTTTAAAAAACGAGGTACGAAATCGTAATTTTCTCGCTGATTTGTGGATGAAATTCGTAATTTTAAGGTATTATAGAAAGCCTGAACATTTACAGTTCAGTATATGGTTGATAAGCGTCAAAGTGATCGGCAATTGTTTTGATTTTGGACAAATTTTCGGGCTGTGAAATTTTTTTGACACTCGGCCACGAGGTCGAATCATCTTGAATTTGATAAGAACACATTGCAATGGACTTCTTGGGGACTAAAATTTAAATTAATTTGATATTTTCGTAGTTCGTAGTTCGTAGTTCGTACTGGTTGCGGAACCTGTCAAAAACGAAGTACGAAGTACGAAGCCGTGTTCGTTCTTCGTAGTTCGTACAGGTTGCGGAACCTCTCTAATATCACATTATACCACAGTTATATCACAGGTATCTAGCACTTATTTCTGTCACATTAGTTTAATATCAAATATTAGTTTAAAAATTCATAAAAATCATTTAAAAGCTGACTGATTAATTTTGATAATGAGTGTTCAATTTTAACGATTGAATTTTAGGTCTTGTCTCGATCATCATTACTAATGTCGGTACAACAAAAAAAACAAAAGTCTTGATTATCCATTCTGACATTAATTCATCTATCAAAAAATGTATTAAAATCCAGTAAAATCACAGGCTAGTGATGACATCGAGAGTTGATTATGGACTACGTAAGTTAATTAATGCCTAATTAATAATTCAGATAATATTTCAGGCCTAAAGAAAGACTCACAATAGGCAGATTTAGCTCTTGTATAATGTCTGTTTAAAGCAGTCCATAAATTTTTCTAAACTTAAATACAAAGCAAAATGTTTATACTGTATATTTTCGGCGCCTGTAGCCAAGAATCCACAACATAATCAAGGGCATTAACTCTAGAAAAAAAAAATCTTAGTCTAAACAATGTATAAAAATGTCGGATGTCTGAGCAGTCCACAAAAAGTGTTGAAGCGTGAATTATCAGGTAGTAATTAAAAACAAAAATCTCAAAAACTCTGACTGGAACTGGTTGAACAAAATGACAATAATACGGGCCTACAAAAACTTGTGAAGTTCCAAAACAAAAATCTGAAAGATTCTGTGTCCATTGGATCATATGTGTTGATATTTTATTGGCAGACCTGAATCAAAAGCAATGAAATGGGCTTTAACGTCCTCCTGTTCTGCTCCGAACTGAGCTAATGAGTACGGGCATACGTTATACAGTATGTTATGAGGGGAATTTTGCCTAGACAGTGGTGCTACGGCCTACACTTATATCAACTGCCAAGGGTTCTTTAATGTGCACAAAGGACCTTGTTCAATCCAAAACACTAGACACTCTTCCTCGCTAGACCCTCTATCAATGACGAGGGGAAATCATCATCCACAATCCTGAGGAACTTTCTTGACGACCTCGGGAATAAAACCCGAGAACTCCTGGTTAGTGAGCCAGGGTCTTACTCCCTGAGCCACCTTAACTTTACCGAAATCAAACAGGTTTATCTTCTATAAAATAATCCATGGAATACTATTATTTACTAATTACACAAAATACTACTTCATTCATCAATCAATCAAATGTTGTTTTTATATGTATACATATAGTTTCTTATGATGTTTGACATACTAACTTAATTAGAATCTCATCAACTCTAATGATATCAATTGAATTAGACCTCAATCTCATGTAAATATTTAATCAGCCAGTCAATTATTCCTGTTTGTTGTTTATCTTGAAAAGGTGCAGAGAGAGAGAGAGAGAGAGAGAGAGGGAGAGAGAGAGAGAGAGAGGGCAGTGCGCACTAAGGGTCTTTAGCAGTGGGAGGAAACCAGAGGACCTGGAGATACCCACAAGGTTGGATAGGCGACCCTACTCCTTGTCACGTTAGTTGACCCAATGACAGACCTTATGATACAGAGCGCAGTCACTAACCCCATGTGTATACTGATGGCTCTAAACAGTTTATACAGACGGTTCACAGAACGGGTTAACTAGTTTAATAGTGACTGACAGTTTTTCAGGTAAATCTACGATCCCTATTTCAAGGCCTACCTGCTGAATGTAATCCAAGACACCTGAGAAAATCATTAACTAGATTCATAATAGTAATAATATCACCCATTCAGTGGTTTTCTATTTCATCTCTAATCCGTTTTCCAACTTCATTCATTTCAATACTCTATATGACTTAAAGCTAAGTCTGAGTAATGCGTATATATGACTTAATCTGAACTCTGATCACTACATGTTATTAATACAGGTAACTATATGCCTACCTTTTAATAGAATATATCCATTTCTATACCTCCATGTTACATCAACTAACGATGTACGTACAAGCATGGAAGTAACGAAGAGCTGTATGTGTCGAGACACCTCTATAGATATAAGTATTGATTACCGTGGCACAGAGAATTAGAGAATTCAATCTCTCTATACATGTATGTCGGGTCACGAGTGATTAGCCATCACTCAATATTTGTTTTATGTACCCCACTATAATAACGTCTACATCAACAGCTATTGTTAAAAAATTTATCAACACAGTCTGTAAAGTCTACATCAACAGCTATTGTTAAAAAATTTATCAACACAGTCTGTAAAGTGAACAGTTTCTTCTCTCAGTTAAAACATTCGCCACCCAAACATAGGCGTCACACATGGGGGGGTCTGTGAGGGTCCGATCCCCCCAATTGCTTTTTCGGGGGGGGGGGGGGGGGCTGAATAAACTTCGACCCCCCCCCCAAAATTTACAGCATGGCCACATGGTGTTTGTTTATATTTTTTAGGGGTTTTAAAAAATGGGTTAGGGTTAGGGGTTAGGGTTGCGGACCCCCCCAATATATATTTCACGGCTACGCCTCTGCACCTAAACAGTTGTTAGAGAAACACAATGTAACGGGAGAAAGGGAGAAATAGGGCTTAACATCCACTCAACACAAACTGGGTCATTTCGGGACTAACATATGGTGCAATTTTATCTTAATAATTTGCTCGTGTATCAGGGTCTTTAGCAGTGGGAGGAAATCAGAGGACCTGGAGAAAACCCACGAGGTTGGACAAGCGACCCTACTTCTTTTCAGGTACAAGCAGGGAATTGAAACCATGTCACTTGAATCAATGACAGACCTTATGGTTTCACATCCTTGCGTTAAACCACTAGACCACCGAATGTCCCATAATGTAATGAAAGAGGGTTTAAAGTCCTAATATTTTACCGAAACTACGCTAGCTAATGAAGACTGATCTTTGACATACAGTGTGCCATGCAGCGAACTACTATTATTTTGAATTCCAACTGCCAGGGGATCTTTTACATGCACGCCAATGTGTACACAGAACCTTGATTTTTTTTGTCCCATTGGAACAGCTAAATAATGTCCCTTGCTATAATGTCCCTTTAGATCATATGGTCTGTCAAGTCACCTACGTGACAAGGAATAGGGTCGCCTGCAGAACCTTGTGGGACTTCACCTGGTTCTCTAGTTTCCTTCTACTGGTAAAGACTTATACTGCGATAGGTGACAAGGAATAGGGTCGCCTGCAGAACCTAGTGGGACTTCACCTGGTTCTCTAGTTTCCTTCTACTGGTAAAGACTTATACTGCAATAGGTGACAAGGAATAGGGTCGCCTGCAGAACCTTGTGGGACTTCTCCTGGTTCTCTAGTTTCCTTCTACTGGTAAAGACTTATACTGCGCAAATGAATTATTGAAATAAAATTGTACCATATCATGTTAGTACCAAAATGACAAATGACAGATCAATGAACAGGGGAGCCACAGTGAGTCAGTGAGTAAGATACTGACAGACTAGTCTGGAGGTGACGGATTCGGGCCCAGTGTTGGCCGAGAAAGTTCATCAGGATTTTCTTGCGATGTTTCCCTTGTCAGAGGTGCAGGATGGAGTGTCTGACAACAACAGCTGTCCAGTCGTTCGGATGGGACAAAAAACAAAAAAACAAAGGTCCTGTGAACACACTAGACGAGGCAAACTTTCCCTTGTATCACACTGTATGGTATATGTTCGTCTTCATTAGCTGAGTCAGAGTAG